TGCATATTTTGGAACTGTCATTAATTTCGCCATCGCTTTTTTTCCCACAAATTGATGAAGTTTTAGGCTCGGCATAAAGAACCTTTCACGAGCTTTTTCAACAAATTTTTGCATGATCCTTCATTGGCAGAAGCGCACCGTGTCGTTGGTAGATTTAATTTGGAAATATCGGAGGAATCGAGGAAGGAATTGGTATGTGTAAAATGGTTTCTACATTTCACATTGTTTCATAATATTTGATGAGAGTTTTTAAACTTTTATTTTCTTGTGATTATTGGGCATTTACTCTCCGAGATTGTCCAGCTAATCTTTTTGTAAAGGCTCAACGGAGAATAGTGAGAGATTTTGTTCATGTATTTCAAGGTTCTGTTCTTTTTTTCAGAAAGCGCCAAAGGCTGAAGAAAATGAGAAGTCAAAACGCCAAGAAGAGAAGAAGGTGAAGGAACGAATAAAAGATGAAGGAAAATTTATCGAGTTGCCTGGTGCAAAAAAGGGAGAAGTTGTGGTGCGATTTCCGCCGGAAGCCAGCGGGTGAGCGCAGGTTTCGGAGAAAGTTTTTCTGAATGTGCAGCAACGCATTATTAGTTAATGTGTAGCCTCGCGATTGATACACTTTCACGATATGAATGTCAGCAGGGTAGAGGAATTAACTAAATGCTAGAGATTCTGAAGTTGCCGAGAACATTCCTCCTTTATTAAATCAGCACCTTAACATTTTGTTCAGCTCTAAACTTGCTGCATTCTACGGATGAAATTCTTTCAATTCGGTATTGTCACGACAAGTCAAAACAACTTGTGTATTTGCACTGATGAAAGGTAACACATGCCAGTATCATTGGAGGGGAAGGCTGTTGATGACCGAATCCCGAGAGTACTTCCCTGGTGTGCACTAGTATAAATTTGCCATTGAAGCAAATGAACGAGTCGTGCGGATTAGTTGTTTCATTTGCGGAATGGAAAGACTACAACATTTTGTTCGGGGGCAGCGTTACTTTTCATTAGACCGTACGAACCTGCATTGTTATGCTAAATAGTTAATTGTTAGCCAGTGAGGATGCCATTCATTTCTTGCTTTTTAGCTGAACCCAATTTTTAGCCTGACAAGGCTTATAGTAAATTTGGGCCTTTTGGTGCTGAGTTACCCCACTGATTTTTGTAAATACGTTACCGCACTGGAGTTCCCACCGGTTATGCGACTGAAGAAGAGACTTCAATGATCTCCAGTAATAGGCCCAGAAACGAGCATACATCGAGAAAATACTGAGATACATGAAGAAGTAGGAAGAAAAGTGAAACAACAAAGCTGAATGCATTGGTAAAATAACACGAAATAACACAACATTGTGTCGTTCTAAGTAAAGCTAGATAAATGAATCTGAATAACTTTTACACGCCCGGACTTTATGTTTTTATTTGAGGATTCTCTTGATGTGTCAGGAAAAAATTCTAAGAAAAGCCAAATAATGAAATTTCTAGATATTTGCATATCGGCCATGCAAAAGCTGCACTTTTGAACCAGTATTATCAGCAGGCTTTCAACGGTCAGCTCATTATGCGATTCGATGACACCAACCCAGCGAAAGAGAATGCTCACTATGAACAGGTTTGTGCATAACACTGGAAGTATTGCTGGCGGCAGTTGTAGCAAGCAGGCATTAGTTCAGTTGCTGGTGTGTAGGATTTTCGACCGTTTTGAATTTTACCCGAAAAATCCTGTCCCCATCGCAGTGCTCGAACAGCTTGCGCGTTCGCACGTGTTTTCGTTTCTTTGCGGTTTCTTATTTCTTGATTATTCAATCTGACTGCTGGAAATGTTAAATTGTCGCCAGAATATTGCCACGTTTATACCTCTTCCTGCTCGGAATACCAGACTATTCTTTTAATGTAGAAAGTGATGCTTTAGTAGACCACGTAAATGCGTAAATTCTTTTTCGAGCTGGACTTTTTTGCCCTATTTGATTACTTGCAATTATCAGTGGGAATTTTATGAAACACTTTCAGCGTGGTGTTTAATTTGAGTTTTCTGTGTCTTCACTCAGTAACTGAGTAGTATATGCTCTGCATGGGAATGTTTTTTGAGTGCAAAGGCGATTACTGGAAGATAATGCGAATGGAGATTAGTATAATATATAACCTAAACGTTCTGGCCTGTGATTTGACTGGCTGTATATTTAGGTGATATTGGAGGATTTGAAAATGCTGGATGTAAAGCCGGATCGCTGGACGCATACTTCGGATCATTTTGATAAAATGTTGATGATGTGTGAAAGCCTACTGAAAGATGGTAAAGCTTATGTAGATGATACGGACGCCGAAACGATGCGCAAAGAACGGGAAGATCGTCGGGAAAGCCGGTGCCGTAATAATTGTATGCGCGTTTACCCATTTATAAAGTTTTATTTCAACAGATTTCACCTGGAATGCTAAGGCTGCCCGTGTTATCGTTGCGAGCATACCGTTACTAGGATTGCTCCTATGCACTAGGCGCAGCAGTGCGAGGTGTTTCTATCCTGGGCTGCACACGTCCAGTTAGTACCTATTGCCTTTTCGATGTATGTACGCCACCTCTTCAAAGGCTGCCCAACTAGTAATTAACTTTTCTGTAGGCATCATTCATCATTACGTGACGTCCAACGGTTGTTTCAACAAATTATACCTCATTTTAAGCACCTGAACAAAATTTGGCACTGTGGGAAGAGATGAAGAAGGCAACAACGAAAGGTCAAGAGTGCTGCGTTCGACTCAAAATCAACATGCAAAGCAATAACGGAGCGATGCGTGATCCAACAATCTATCGATGCAAAGCCGAAACGCACGTGCGCACTGCCGACAAATACAAGTTTGTCATACTTCTTTGTTCAGCTGTCGTTTCATCATGTCAAATCCCCGTGCCATCAGCGTAGAGATGACGAGTTTTTGCGGTTGCTGTGGCCAATGCTGCATGGTCATCTCATGTTAATTCTGTTGTTTATACTCACGCTTACTTGATTCTTTTGAAATTCATTACCAGACGGATTACATGTTTCCTCGGCTGTTTGTCAGCTCAGCTTCTGACAACTTTTCTGACACTTTTTCAGTGCTACCGCTGTTTGTTGGGGGAATTTCTACGAGTAGTTAATTATATATTATAAAGCAAAATGCGAACTAATCAAAGTCGTTTTGGCTTATCTCCATAATCCAGTCTGCCTGAGTGCGCGAAGGTATTTCGAAGTAGTCCAAGTGTCAGAGAGCACTCGCAACAGCATCTTCGACATAGTTGTCAACGACTTCTTAAAAATTAGCCTGATTTTAACTGAGCAAATGAATAGTTTTGCATAAACATAAAAAGATGAAGAATGTGAAGTTGCTAAAATGTGTGAAAAGCACTGTACAATTGATGGAGTCATGCAAATAATCTTTCATTTGATTGTGCTGAAATGAAACTAATTGCCCTTGCAGGCATTGGTTATTCGATGAGGCATTTCAGGTGTAATTCGGTGAAATCTTCCTTTTGCAGGGTTTATCCAACGTACGACTTTGCGTGTCCAATTGTGGACAGTCTGGAAGGTGTGACACATGCGCTTCGCACTACTGAATACACCGATCGCGATGAGCAGTACTATTACATTTGCGACGTACTGGGCCTCCGAAAGCCACACATCTGGTCCTACGCACGACTGAATATGACCAACACCGTGATGAGCAAACGCAAACTGACATGGCTTGTTGAGGAGCATCATGTTGAGGGATGGTAAGTTGTCTTGCATCTATGAATCAAAATTTAACGTTTTTGGTAAAAGTGACTCT